GGCCCCCCCCCCACACACACACAGCGCCCCCTGTTGGGAGAGGCTATAGTGGGAGCAGCTGGGCCTTTCAGCTGGCTATAGCATCAGACCTTCCAGAGCTGGGTGTTACTGAGTCTGTCAGCCCCAGTCTGAGCCTCCCAGATACCCCCTCCCCGACATTCCCCTATGCCCAGGCCCCTGAGCACCCAGAATAGCACACACTTAGGTTATCAGTACCTAGCCTCCATGGGGCTTCCCATCGCCTAGCAACAGACCTGTCACCAGCTCTGCCTGGGATTTGATTGATCCAAATTATGCTGTAAACCAAGTTGCCATGGCAGCCAGTGAAGGGGGGGTGAAAGTTCGCAGGCTAAACAACAACCCAACAACGTTCCAGGATGTGATGGGTGGGAGGGACGTGGGGTCTAGTGATCAAAGCAGGCAATCCGGAGCCCAGATCCCCGGGTTCTATTCCCTGCTGCACTGTTCAGCCTTAGCCAAGTCACTTACCACTCGCTGTGCACCTCAGTTTCCCCAACTGTGACGTGGGGATCACACAACTCACTCCACCGCACATGGGCTTTGGGTTCAAGCAGCCGGTGACACAGAAGCTGCCCCTATAGGTCCAAAAGCCACCCCTGTACTGCATGACCCAGCACGAAGCGTGTCGCACCGTCCCTCTCTGCCTCCAGGCTGCAGCCTCAGGCTCAGAAAATTGTGGCCGTGCGTATGTGTAAATGTGTGTGCACGCATGCATGACTCTGCGTGCGTACACGCATAGGCGTGACTGTGTGTGCACGCGTGACTGGCATGTTTCCAAGTCTGGATTAGCGGCCTGCCCCAGACTTCCCCAGCGCCGGGCCCCACCCCCTGGGCCGGCAGCTGGGAGCAGCAGTGCAGGGCTCCGTTCCCATGGGAAAGGTGGCTCTAAGGAGTGGCCCCAAGTTGCAGTGCTGGGCAGAGCCAATCCATGGCCAGGCTACACCAGGGGCCTTGACAGCTCGGGGGCTGGAGGAGAAACATGCCTGGCAGAGAGAGGACTGTATTGGCCCAGCAGCAGCAGGGCCTGACAGCTGATTTCAAGGCTTCCTGCGCCCTCTGGTGGCATGTCCCAGATGCTGCCAGCCCCAGTGGGGTCTGAGGCCAGGCCGGTTGGCCCTACGGGTGCCCCTCTGAGGGTACAAGCTCCAGGAGGATCGGAAGGAGCCCCCCAAACTGGATAGCCAGCAGCGTGCACTGCGCCCCCAGATAGCACTCCCTGGACAGCTACTTCAACAAGAGATGATCCTGGGAGAATTCCACAGGGATCTCAACAACTTCCACCCTGCCATCAACCTGAGCCTGGGCTAGTCCAGAGATCCACTTCCTTGACACTGCAGTTAAATTACGGCCACATTTCCACCCCCTCACACCTGAAACCTACCGACTGTTACACTTACCTAAAGCCTCTCGCTTCCATCCTCACCTGAACAATTGTTTACAGCCAGGCCCTAAGATACAACCGGATTTGCTCCAGTCCCACCAACAGAGACAAACACCTACAGGATCTCTGTCAGGCATTCCTAAAACTTAAATACCCACCTGTGGAAGTGAAAAAACAGATTGACAGAGCCAGACGGGTACCCAGGCATCTGCTTCTTCTAGATAGGCCCAAAAAACCAAAATAACAAAACACCACGGCTGTGTCTACACTG